CCCGCTCCTCCGGCCAGGCGGGGCGTCACCCACCCCCGCAGTCCCGGGGCCTCCCGGCTGCGCCCCAGGGGACCACAGGACAGGCCCTTGCTGCCATCCACACCGGCAGCCCGCGGATCCGGGAGGCGGCGGGCTGTGAGCCAGCGGCCGCGGCCTCCTGCCCCAGACGGGGACGACTCTCCTCACCGCAAGCCCCACTGCCCCCCTGACCGGGCCCAGCGGCCACGGCGGGAGCCCCGCCAGCGCAGCACACTTCCTGAAGGACCCGGCCTCGGGGGGGCCCTGTGTCACGGCCAGCGGGGTGTGTCAGGGACGGGAGGTCGGGGTGACACCGCGTTTCATCGGACACAGCTTAGCTCCACGAAGCCCGAAGGCCACTTAGCGGAGCTGGGCACGCCGGCGCCACCGCAGTTCCCGCGGCCCTGTGGGCAGCCCTGTGTCGGGCTCTGTGATGCGGGGAGACGGCTCCCAGGGAAGGCGGGCGTGGAAAAGCGGAGCGGAAAAATTTAGGGCCTCCCTGGGGGCGCGGGGTCAGTCAGCCCCTGTGGCCCTAGTCCGTCCCCAGCCCGGGAGTGACCCCAGGGTGCAGCAGACCCCTGCTGTCTCCTGCCGCCCCTCGGCGGTTTGCGCCAGTGGCTCCGCCTGCCCTCTCCCCGCTCTGCCTCTGGGGAGTCCCTCAGCACCTCTGGCCCGCACCCCAGCTCGTTAAACAGGAAACTCAGTGGCTGGGCAGGGCAGGGCCCCTGTGCGGCCGGCGCAGGGGCGGTGGTGGGGGCGGCAGCGGGCGGCGTCCTGGTCTGGGGGCCCGGGCAGGTGTCCGTCCGGTGGCCCGGCCTGGGCTGGACCCCTCTCCCACCCTGCAGCGTCCTCGCAGATCTGCTTCCTGGACAGCGCCGGCCGCAGGTGCCTGTCAGCCCAGCTCCGCCCACCCCAGAGGGCGCGGCGTGCCCCTGCGTGCGCAGAGCCCCAGGGCAGACCCCGGTGGCCACCTCGGGCCCTTCCACGGGGCCAAAACGCGGGGGCGGACGGGCCGGAGTCTGGCCGGCGGCTCTCACGGCGGC